GGTGGGTGGGGGGTGGGGGGTCTCAATTCTGGAATGGTTTACGACAAGATGGGGTAACAGTAGGAATGCGAGGTTTTGGCATGATTACTAGAGCAAATCAGCTTCAAAATTCCAGTTCCCTTGCCTTGTGCCAAGCAGCTGAAAACCAAGAGAGTTTAGTTGCTGAACCTTAGTGAATGCGGGTGAACTTATGCACACGCTGGAAATTATCATTCTCGCTGATCGGGACAACTGGGTTGAGTGATGGCTCACTACTAACGAAACTGACACTGCCAAATTCATGTGTAGAGCTCTGGCTTACAGGGGAGTTAACACTTACCAACACGCGTATGAAATGGTGTCAGCAGGATAAAGCCCCTCTTACAAGGAGTAACTTTGAAAGAGAAACGGTCCAGGCAATAGGCTTTTGCCGCTTTTGCGAGCACACTGAAAGTTTTGACCACCTATCTTTTTAGCTGGCCTAAACATGTGTGTGTGTGTGTGTGCGCGCGCGCGCGCGTGTCCTGGTTTGGATTAAGCAAATTGGGGGCGACACATGTTACATGTTATTCTGTTTTGGGCAAAGTGGCCTACTCCCAGCGACCTGGTTCTTTGAGGCCAAACTTCAGCTGCGTCATCCATCAAATGATCCTTTTCCTGCAGCATCGGCGGTCTATTTGGGGTATGGAAACTCCCAATAAAGAGAATAAAAATACATGTCAATGCATAATGAAGGTGTGGAAGAACATAAATATTAAGTCAAATAAAAGCAACAACACATCAATGCAATTAAACTTTAAATGGACAGGGTTCAAGCCAAAATATTCTTCCCCTGTTGGCAACATTCACTTCATCATTACAAAAATCAGGAACGGGTCTTATTTGTTATAGGAACACATCATGGAGTTTGAGTACTGACAATTTTAATAAACATTGAGAGTTCTTCCCCGCGAGAAAAAGAACACTGAGAAGTCGTAGCTAAGCTTTAGAAACTAAGGATGAATGTAAACACCTATTGCATCTAGAAATTCCCCTGAGCACCCAAAGAAGCCAACAATACTGTCGTTTTTCTTCACTCGAGAGTGGAAAGGAGTTCCATGTAGCTGCCCAAAAGGTCCATAGATACGTAAGTTGGTCACAAGCATAAGTGACTTTATGATGCTGGGAAATTGACCATATGGACCAAAAGTCCCTGAAATTTCAATCAAAAACTCCGAGGGTTCTAGTAGAATCTGCAAAATCAGTGGTAATATCAAGCTTCAAATGTTTATTGGGAAATCTTTTGGCTAATGGAAAACAGCTGCTCACGTATGTAAATATTTAGAATAGCTCAGTTGATATTTGGAATTTGGGCACACAGTTTATTTTTTATATGTTTGGCAGCTCAATCTGTTTAAATTATCCGTTCCTGTTTTGTGTATAAAGAACCACTTCCCATTCTTAATTGTGTGAACCATACGTGTAATCTTTGTATTTCTGAATTTTTAAATTTATCTATGATAAATTTTTTGATGTTAATAACACTGTATTAATTTTATTATCGAACTTTTTGTATAAAAATGATATTCATGCGTCGCACCTTTTGGAGAGTACATTTAATCTAGTTTATCTTAACAAGGTCTTGCACAGTGCATGAGAAGTTCATTACTCACCGTGTGGATGGTCCCACCAACACCACCCCAAAGAGGTGTCTCATGCAGATTCTCATTTCTGTCCAGGTAAGAAAATGCAAACGCATCTATAACATCACCACAGCAAATTCTCATACTTCTTAGATAACGTGGTGCCACCTTTATGTCTCGTTTTCTCCCGGTATTTCCTCCCCAGGGTCCAATCTTCTCAAGAATGATCTGCATTCAAGAGAAGGGGTAATAATTATTAATATAAACCTTTCACGTATAACAGGTGACATGGTATTGATCAGTCACAAGCTTAGTATACATATAAATACTCCCTCTGTAAACTAATATAAGAGAGGGTGTAGTTCAGTATTTTTTTAATCAAGTATACTACATTGGGAAAAAATATTAACATAAATAATAAGCTTTGATTTCTTAACTTAATGTGTCCTTTGACATCTTGTGTTTCTTATTACTTTTCGTAGTCAGGACTATTTCATTTACAATGACAACAACTATATCACTTGCTCATGTAGTGTGCCAATCAAAATTTGCACTATCAAAGTTCAAAAA